AAAACAGTTTCAAAAAAGGGGATCGATATTTTTTGAGCATTTATTCAAGTTTGATTTAGTTCAGTTAAAAACCAGTTTTGACAGTGGCATTTACCTGTAATCCCAGCACTCGGGAGGCTGAGGCAGGAGGATTGCTGTGAATTGGAGGCCAGCCTGGGCTACACAGAGAGTTTAAGGCCAGCTAGTGCTACAAATGGAGACCCTGCCTCAAAAAACAAAACAATAGCAGCAGCAGCAGCAGCAACAACAACAACAAATCCAGTTTTGAACACATACTTTGCATAAGATATAAAGTATTATTTTGGTCATACAAGAAAGAGCCAATTTAAATCTAATAAATAAATGGATAGTTTTATAACACTGTTAAAGATATGCGGCAATAATTTAGCATGTGTTTTGGGGAAGGAAAGGAAAAGACCTCTACAAAAGATTGGGAGCAGGCAGTGGTTACCCAAGGCAGTCCTGGACCTCAGCACTTGCTGAAGAGCTGCTCACAGGAGCTCAGCTCTTTGTGAAAATACATTCTAAATCATGGTCATGCTGTAGCCAAGATCAGTGTCTCCAAAATCTGCCTATGTATTTTTTCCCTCCAGAAAGCTAGAAGTGAGTAGCAAACAGATACATGTATTTATCACATTCAAATCAATGAAATGAAACCATGTTCATCAACATTGTGGTCTACAGGCCACTCCCTGCCCACTCACACCATGGAGTCACGTTCTCTTCTGCGTCTGGCTTCTCTCGCTCTAAGCCGCTTAGGACAAACCCATCTGAATATCTGACTTTATTTTGTTTGTTTATTTTTACCTCTTTGGGTAGGACCATATTCTGTTCTTTTGAAGTTATCATAGCAAGAACTTTCTTGCTTAAAATCATTTCTTAAATACAATCCTATCACCTTTTTACTTAGTCCGTCTCCGTTACTGGCCATTCAAATTTGATTCATCCTAGGGTGCATGGTGGCACAAGTCTATAATCCCAGCACACTGGGAGACTGAGGAGGAGAACTGAAAGCTTGAGCCCAGCCTGGGTGACTTGACAACTTAGAGAGGCCCTGTCTCAAGGTTTACAGAAATTACGAATGGTAGGGTGATGTATGTAGCTCAGTGTGAAGCTCTGGGTTCAATCCCCAATATAACAAACAAAAAGAATCTTAATCATCCTTCAGGAATTCATACCCTGATTTCCCCATGAGGCCTTCCCTAATCACTTCAGTTTAATGGGATTTCCCCCTTTATAATTTTATTGTACATTCTATTTCTAATAGAGAACACAGTGTCTGGTTGATGATTAGTGTCACATGGGGATATTTTAAAGACTTTTATTCTAGAACAATTTTGTATTTACAGAATCATGAAGATAGTATATACCATTTCTGTATACCCCAAATTGTTTTGTCTATTGTTAGCATATTAGTAGAGTACGTGTGTCAACATGAACGAATCAGTATTTATACATTATTGTTAACTGACATCCATAACTTACTCCAATTTCTTCAGTTTTTCCTAATATCCTTTTTCTAATCCAGGATGCCATCCAGGATATTGCATATCACATCTGTAACCTCCCTTAGCTATGATAGTTTATCAGACTTTCTTGTTTTTGATGATCTTGACAGTTTTGAGGATTAGGCATAAGAGAACTTTGTGGAAGGTTTTTAATTATATTTTCAATTTCACTAATTGATTTTGCAGTTTTTAGAATTTTTATATCTTCTTAGTTCAACTTTGGTAATTCATATATATCTAGGAATATGTCCATTTCTTCTGTGTTTTTTATTTCATTGGAGTACAGATTCTTGAAGTAGATATTGATGATCCTCTGGATTTCTGCTGGATCTGTTGCAATTTAACACTTTTCATTCCCAATTGCATGGATTTGAGCTCCTCCTCCCCCGTTAAGTTTGGCTAAAGGTTTGTTGATTTTATTTATTCTTTCAAAGAACCAACTCCTTGATTCACTGATATTTTTGCATCATTCCCTTAGTCTCCATTGCATTGATTCCTGCTCTAATCTTTATAATTTCTTCCCTTGTATGATCTTTGGGTTTGTCTTTTGCTTCTTTTTCTGTGACGTTGAGGTTAAACATTAGGTTATTTGAGCTCACTCTGTTTTCTAGTGTGGACATTCACTGCTATGAATTTCCCTCATTGCTTTCATTGTGTCCCATAGATTCCTGTATGTCATATTGGCATTATCATTTAATTGTAGAAACTGTCTAATTTCTTCTTTAATTTTCTCTGTGACACATTAGTTGTTCAGGAGGGTGTTATTCAACGTGTTATCCATGTATTTGTAAAGTTCTTGTAGTTTCTTTTGCTATTGATCTCCAATTGAATTGCACTATGGTCTGAACTTAAAAATAATCAGACCTCCAAACTTTAAAGACCCAATTCTAAAACAGGCATCTCCAATGAACAGACATTTCTCACACAAAGAAGTAGAAGCAGCAAATAAACAGGTGAAAAAATGTTCAGCATCACCTGTCATTTGAGAGAAACCAAAAGTATAAATGTATAATAGATAGTGTGAAATAGGGAACAAAGCTCTGAAGGGAAAGAGGAATTGAGGGATAGGGGAAAGAAAAGAAAGGAAAGGAAAAATGTGAGAAAAGGAAAAAATGGAAACAAAGTCTTTGTAAATAGGGAGAGGTGGAGGGGTTGAAGGGAATGCAGGGGAATAGGGAAAATATAAGAACCAAGAGAGATACTTCATGTAAAGGTACAAAGTCCCAATAACGAATGTCATCACATTGTATACCCAAAATGTACCAATAAACTTAATAAATAAAAAAGCCACATTGTATAGATTGCTCTACATGATGTTAAACAAATACTAGTTTTAAAGAATTAGAACCTGACAGTGTGAAATGGATTAAACACACAAATGATTTAAACAATAAAATGGTTGACAGTAACAAAAGAGAGAGAGAGAGAGAGAACTTTGTGGAATGTCCCTATTTGGAATGTGTCTGATGTTTTTCCCCGGAGTAGACTGGGGTATTAGTTTTTTTTTTTTTTGAGGAAGAACATAGAAAGTGTCATCCTTATCACATCATATCAAGGACACATACCATCAACATGACTTATGAGTGCTGAGGTTAACCTTGATGACCCATCTTGAAGTAATGATTGTCAGATTTCTCCACTGAAAAGTTACCATTTTTTTCTCCATTTCCATGCTACACTCCTTAGAAGATGGCTACTATGGCAGCACACTAAAGTGGTCAGAGGGAAAGAGGTCACTATGCCCCACTTCCTTAAGAGGAGATTGGTAATACAAATTATTTGAAATTCTTTTTCCTGGGAAATGGTCTGTTTTCCCCCATTTGTTTACTCAGTCATTTATTTACATCAGCATGGACTAGTGGATATTTATTTTGAGCTTTGGGTTATAATCCAGTACTGTTTTATTTATTTTGTTGCTCAAATTGTTCCAGCTTTGGCTATTCCATCTTGCAATTGACTTTCTTATCCCTTTGACATGCTTCCATGATTTTGGGGTGGACACTTTTCAGTTTCTGGTACTAAAGATACCCCAGGTTCATCATACATAATTCTTGGCTCAGTCCTAATATCAGCTATTTTGCTCAAGGAGAATAGTATTAGAAACCAAGACCTGGGTGCTAGGTGTACTCATTATTTCTTGGTGCTCATTGATAGTATGCTGTTGCTTCTAGTCCCTCTGAGCAGATAGAGCCAGAAGTATCTTGCCCTATATACACAAATATCTATAAATATTTTTGCCTCCATTCCTTTGTATCTTTATTAAATATACTGATATTTTCATATCTAATTTATTATCACATGATCAGTTTGGGAAACTAAAAAATATATGAGATGTGATTGAAAAATACAGTATGGGTGTAAAATTTAAAAAATTATTAATGTAAATGACATATTGCCATTAATCCCCTCTCAAATACACTTATCCTATCATTCTTGCCAATTTTTGCAGTAGTATTGGAAGTCCTCTGTGATTGTCTTTAGCTGTGCTGTTGTAGCTGCCTGAATGTCTTGAATTGATTAAAAATGTTCACTTTTACCGAGACCTGTCATGTAAAGGTACAACATCCCAGTAATGAATGTAACTGTACTGTATACCTAGAATGTACCAATAAACTCAATAAAAATTTAAAAAAGTTCACTTTTAATGGTCATTTTAACTTTAGAAAAGAGCCAGAAGTTACAAGATGCCACATCCAATGAATAAGGTGAATGAGGAGACAACAGATATTTTTATGAGCCCACCGTTTTGTTGGATGGCATTTGGCAACAGTATTCACCTTCACCTTTTTTTTTTTTTTTTTTGCACTGGGGATGGAATTCATGACCTTGTGCTTTTGAGGCAGTTGGTGGTACCACTGAGCTAATTCCTCAGCCCCCTATTCACTATATTTTTGATCACACCTCATAAAGATTCAAAAGAGGATTTCCAGAACTGCTTCAGAAAAATACAAGAACACTGCGCTAAGTATGTTTGAAGAGAGGATGAGTATTTTGAGAGGGATTAAAGGCAATGTGTCTTTTATAATGATACATTTTTTTAAAAATTTAAACATTCACCATACATTTTGATACCAGGACTAATGATTCAGAAGATATACTAAACTTTTATATTTTGAATGGCAAATACATCAAACTTATTATGTTTCTTGGTTTAATTAGGAATCAATATTAAATTATGACAGTTGATACCATGGATATACATTTTACTTTACCATTATTTATTATGTGGGTAAGTATTTGTCTTAGGAAAATGTTGTCGTCTGACTACAGTTCTGCTGATTTTAGTTTCACGAGTGTATTGTCTAATGCAGTTTGAAAATTCTTACATTAGGTGATTATTAGATGTACAATTCAAGCTCTCCAGATCTATGATTTGGTGTTCTAAATATAGAGCACAAATTAGCTATGAAGATTATGTTGTCATGTTGGTAGTACCTGCATCTCTCATTTCTTCTCCTTCTCCTCTTTCTTTGCATTTTTGGTGGGCTGCAGGCTCCAGTTCCTACTCCATCTTCTGAGATGAAGCTGGTCCCCAGGATGCCCTTGGTGCTGCTCCTGCTGCTGCCTGTCTTGAGTTCTGCAAAAGCTCAGGTCAATCCAGGTAACAGATCCCCACTGTAAACCAGCTGAATTTCAAGCCCATCAGTGTTCGTATTGGGTAAAGCCTTACAAGCAGGCTCAAAAGTCTGGTTTTGTTTTTTTTGTGTGTTTTTTTTTTTTATCTTTGTGATGAAACATAGCCATACCAGGAACAAAACAATACACTTTCTCTCTCCACATATACATTGTGGGTTTCTGGTATAAAGTAAGATGTAGCAAGAGCATTTTTTAAAAAATGGAATTGGAAGGGTTAAGGATTTAACTCAGTGGTTGTGCTGCCTGCCTCACAAGCGCAAGGTCCTGAGTTTGATCCTGGATAGCAAAAAAAAAAAAGAGAAACCGAAATGGAAGAGGCCACTTTTTGTTCATCTTCTTGGCAAAACAGAAGAGAATTTGAAGATGCCTTAGAGAACTTCTCCAAGTCATTCTGTCACTTGTTTCTGTCTGTAGTAAGCCTAGATTTTACTTTATTTGAATGTCCTGTTTTGCTTTTGCTACACTGTTTAGGGAATCTCAGGGAGGTACTCTTCCTACTAGTGTGAAAGGAGTCTTTTAAGCCAAAATTTGTGCTTTTTTTGTATTACATATATTTTTGAATTTTAACCTGAAGTATACAATTGTATCATTTGTCTCCTATACAATAATGAAACTTAGCAACCTAAGGCTCAATCCCTTAGGTGCAGGCATTTATTTTGCTCCTGATCTTGTACTTTGATGGTTTATGTGGAGCTTGGTTGGACTGTTTTCTCCTACTCCTTGGTTCACTTGTGTATCTGGGAGCAGCTGGCTGTTGGCTCATCTGGGTTGGTCTAGCTCTCATGGCTGGACAATTTGACTGTCTCTGTTTCATCCCTTAACAGACTAGCCTGGATATGTTTCCATAGAAATGGCACAGGAGCAGAAACAGAAGCAGAAACATGCAAGCATTTTTCAAGCCACTGTTCAAATTATGCTCATTAAAATCTCACTGGCCAACATAAGTCACATGGTCATGCTCAGAGTCAGAGTGAGACAATCCAAAGATATCTACATGATAGGGGGCTATATGTAGAGATGGGTAAAGAATTAGAGTCTTCTGTTTTATTCTTCCACGAATATAAATGTAGCCTATGTGTTCAATTTAACGAATTTTATGGACTGAACATATCCATGTAAATAGTACCCAGATCAAGAAACAGAAGTTTATCAGCTCTTCAAAGCTCTCTTCAGCTCTCTTCTAATCGCTTCACTCCCACACCAAAGGTAACCATTATCCTGCTTTTTTGCAAATGTAGATTAGTTATATAAAAGGAATCATATAATGCACAAATGCTCTGGCTTTTTTGCTCATCGTTTTGCTTACCATAATCATCCTATTGTTGCATGCAGTTGTTCATCCTCACTACTGTAAGATGTTATTTTGAACACCAGCCTACTGTGAATGAGGATTCAGATAGCTTCCCATTTAGGCCTATGGTAAATCAAGCTCCTATTATGTAAGGATGCTTGCATAGAACTTTTAGTGGAGATGTATACTCAGTTCTCTTAGGTTTGTATCTAGAAGTGGAATTTCTGGGTTTCTCGTTATCATATGATCCGCTTTTCTGCATAATACCAAAGTTTTCTAATGTGATTTTACCAATTCACCATTCCACAATTGTATACAGAGTTCAGTTGTTCCATTTAACTGTATTTAGATTATCGAGAGAACTTGTACTTTTTGTAACATTGGTGTATGTTTGCAAAAATGTTTGCATTTCTCCCCCTTACAAAGATTCCAGTCTATGGGCTATTCTTTATACCCTCAGTAGGAAATATGATCAAAAGTCCTTAAAAATCAATGAATTATTGGCTGAATAAATCCGATGCCTTGTTACTTTTTTGCATTGAATTTAACTGGTGCATCTGAGATCTGAACTTAGGCACCATTCTTCCAATTTTCAGTCCGGTATTTCTTTTGCCCACAAATTGAGGTCTGGTTGCCTTCTACTACATTCCCCCTGCTTTGATCCAAGGATGAGTGCTGAAAGTGCCCAGAATGGTAGGAGGTTTTAGTGCTGGGCATGCTCAAGGGGACTAGAATGCCATGGAGGCGTTTAATGACTCCACCAAAGGAGCTGGCCTTCTGTGTTAGGATACACAACATAGCTGTTCAGCAGGATGTGAGATATTTGAAAAGAGCAAACAATCATCTTAATTTTTCTCTTATTTATGGTGCCAGTCTTATTTTTTTTTTTTTTTTTCTGTCAGGGAAAAAGTAATAGAGGTTGTGATTTATAAAGATCTTTATAAAAACATGGAGTACAAGAGGCAGAGATAAGAATTTGAAGCAGGTGAGATAGTTGAAGCCATCATCAGTGTTAAAGGATGTGGTTATGAAGCTTGGGTGTCATGGAATCATATGTTGTGTACACTACTGAGCATAGAGTGGACATATAATAAGAGCATGTTGATTTAAGAATGATTCTTTAGGCATTCTTACTGGGGTCTACTGAAACACTGAATTAACTGATAGTTCTGAAAGGTCACTGAAAGTGTTTAGAGACTGAATACATTCTTGGCCAGATTTTCCCACAGGGTGCTCTCATTATATAACATGGAGCTTAAATCAGGAGACTTGGGTTATAAGCAAATCTAATGTATAACCAACCACTAAACTATTGGGATGCATTTTATTGAGCACTGAATATAAAATATTAATTAGCAAACGGTAATCATACTGAGCATTCAGTTCAATTAATGATATAAAATAAACCCATTAGTTGAAGCTCATTTTTGAAGATTTCACAATGACTATGGATCAATGTCAGTGAGTTTTCAGCACTGGCATGGCTTCTTTGATAATAGTGACATCAAATACGGCAAAATATCAATGTAAAAATCATTAAACCCCAAGAAAGGATGGATGATTTTGTTGACATATAAACTTCATCTTTCCTACTTGAGGCCCAGTCTTCTGCAGGTGTTATCTCCTGGAGGCTGCCGAGCAAGGGTGTGTGAGAGAGAACCTGGCTGAGGCATGAAGCCAGTAGAGCTGCTGACTTGCTCCTATAAAGCATCTGATCTCTGGAAGAGCAGTTTCAGAGGCAGGTGGTGTTAGCAACACATCTAGCAATGGCCATGAGGGATTGTTGAAAGAGATGTTGTTACAGGGACTTGTGGTGTAGGCTCTGTAGGTCTACAGAGAAGATACTGAAGTGCAGCTGTGTTTTTAGAGTCCTGAAAGGTGGACAGTGTACTCGATATCTTCCATCTTTGACAGAACACCAGAATTGAAACCTAATGATTGTCAGTGAGATGGAGACACTATAGGCAGTTTCCTATGTCAAAATCATAACTCAGGAGTATCACTTAGTTAATGATATTCATATCAAACAATTATACCAATAACTTATAAAAACAATTTCTCAACAAGTGATCTGGATGTGATTAAAAGGTTCCAATGAATGATTTGAAGATCATTTATTAAAAAATTTTAGCTTTGTTTCTTATTTTTAGTAACAGCTCCAGTTATGATCCTGGTTTGGGCTTAAATTAGTTGTGATATTGGGCAATTTGTTATGTTTATCTTTGTATCTCTAGTAAAATGAAGTTGGGTCAGGTAATCTATAAGAACCTTTCTGTCCCACCATTGCTATGACTTTATGACATGGGAGCTTTTCTGCCTGTCCTAGAAGATTTGATGAGCTTTAGACCATGAAGCATAGCCCCTGTGCTTAGATGATTGCTCTCTATCAGAAAGACCACACTTGTCCTCAACTTTCTGCCACCTCCCAGACTCAGAATCTGGTGTATGAACTTTAGGAGAATTTTGCCTTTGGCACTGATGATAGGAGATGACTTTTAAATATTTTTTTATTGAGTTTATTGGTACAATCTAGGTATACAATACAGTTACATTCATTATTGGGGTCTTGTACCTTTACACGACAGGTCTTGGTTCTCATTTTTCCCCCTTGTCCCTTCCTCCCATCACCCCTCCTCCCCTCCCCATTTACAAACACTTTATTTCCATTTTTTCATTTTCTCATATTTTTTTCTTTTCCCTTATCCCCTTTCCCTACCCTTCCCACTTTCTCTATACCTTTAGCCCTTTTCTTCCTATTTCACATTGTTAATTATCCCATTGGGATCTTGTGTACTATTATAGTTTTTCACACCAGAGGGACTATTTGGTATTTACACGTGTGACTTATTTATTTCACTTGAGTATATCCTCAATATGTATCCATTTTCCTATGAATGACTCTAATTCCTCATTCTTTATGGCTGAGTAATATTCTATTTTACAGAAAAATCACATCTTCTTTATTCAGTCCCCGTTTGATGGGCAAAAATGGGCTGTTTCCAAGTTTTAGCTATTATAAACTGTGCCACTATAAACATTGGTGTGCATATATCACTGTGGTATGTCTCTTTTAATTCTTTTGGAAAGAAACCCAGCAGAGGGATGGCTTGGTCAAGTGGAACCTCTAGTCTCAGCTCTTTGAGGTATCTCCATATTGATTTACATAGTTGTTGCACCAGTCTGCATTCCCACCAACAATGGAGAAGGGTTCCTTTCTCTCCACAACCGCACCAACATTTGTTATTGTGTGATTTCTTGATAGCAGCCATTCTTTGTGGGGTGAGGTGGAATCTCAGTGTTGTTTTCATCTGCATCTCTTGAAAGACCAGTGATGTGGAACATTTTTTCATATAATTACTTGCTGCTTTTACTTCTTTGTCTGAAAAATGTCTGTTCATTTCAGATGCCCATTTTTGAATTGGGTCTTTATATTTGGATGGGCCGATTGCTTTGAGTTCTTTACATATTCTAGATAATAGTCCTTTGTCTGAGGAGCAACTGGTAAAATTTTTTTCCCACATTGTAGGTTGTCTCTTAGTTCTGTTGATGGTTTCTTTTTCAGTGCAGAAGCTTTTTAATAAGATGAAATCCTAGTTGTTGATTCTTTCTGCTAGTTCCCATGCTACTGAGGATTTGTTCATAAAGTCTTTTCCTATGCGAATGTCTTCAAGAGT